CAAAATAACACACACAAAGAATACAGTTTCCTATAACTAGTATAATTTGACTGGCTTTCTAACTAAGCTATAAGTTTGTTGAAATATTTCCCTTCGGCAGTAGCAGCTTTGAATATGTAGGACAAATAATTCAAAAGTTGTCATCAGAACGAACTAGCCTGTTACATAATTCAGTAAGTTAAAAATGTTCTCTTTCTATTATGTATTAGCAAACATCAGAGAGAATTAATTAAATTTTTTTAAAGGCGTGGAATGTGTGTGTGATCTTTATTAAAAAATGATTGGAAGCTATAAAATTAAATTATGTCTTAGCAGTAATTATATTGTAAGTTTGTATTTGCATTAAAACTCAAAAGCGTAAATAAGGGTCCATAGAATATCGAAATTAGATTATTTTGAGCAAACAAGTGTTACGTGATATAGTAAGTGAAGATTGAGACTTTATTAAAATATATTTTTTTTGAAATTAATAAATTAAGACTTACATCATAATTTGATTTATTACAAAATGTTGGTGCCATGTTTATTGACACATGTTTACAATAAAATGATTTAATGAAATTTTGAATGTAACTGTAAAAACATACACACTTTTACTTACCATTATCCAGAGGGTCTTTTTGACCAAATAATCCAAAAGAAACCGCTCAAGAATACGAACCATTAGAACATACTAATAAATAACTAAGCCAGCTTTAAGAGAGACTAAAATACAGTTACTTTATTAAATTAGACTGTATAAATTCAAAGAGTAGGAAAAGCCAGTTACTGGAAATCTATTAAAGATTCAAGAGGAAAGTAACAACAGTTGTAGTACAGAGTAGATATAGCCTATAGCCAAACACTGACAGTTCAATTATATAGCAAAATGTTAAGAGTTGGTTTCAGGAATAGTAGACTAGGTCAGATAGTCCAAGACTGGAACTGAAATAGGAAGTCAATAGCAGAATGAAATATTCATATTTTAAATTTGAATAATATAAATATGGTTGCCCTCAACAACATGTAACTCAATAGATCTGCTGTGGATAGAAAATGTATTTGTTAAAAAGAGAGAATACAAATATTCAAATTAATTTTATTGTTTAGTGTCTCATAATTTAATCAACAATACTGCTTACTTACTTGAAAAGAAACTAGTCATTAACGTTATTTTAACAAGCAAGATTATTTGTTGAATTAAATTAGTTAATTTCTTTGGCATACAAAAGAGATTAAAAGACTCGCTTTGTTTTACAACGCTAACTACAACATTTAAACAAAAATTAATTTGTTTAAAGAAAAGTTATGATGTGAGTCATTAGCTACATTGTTTGAACAAAATAACTATTAATTTATTCAGGTTCTTGTCTATCGAAAGAGAGTCATACGTTTAAATAACACTTGAAACTACAGAATTCAAAGAAATAGTCCACATACACACCTCTTCATTCTTGATCTAGAAAAAAAGAGAATAAGACAAAATCGATGCCAGTATCTCTAGTTTTCTAGCAGTTCGCACAATTTACATAATACAAAGTACTATCGCGTATCTGCTCGTTTGATAATTTCCAGTAAAAATTCTTTCCGATTGACTTCAGCGATACAAGTCTCTTCTTGGTTAAAACTAGTTTATTCTTTCTCGATACAACTTTATAATACACATAATTTCCACATTCAGTTTAACTTAACTACATTTATAAAAACACACAGGGATTCTCACACTTTACTTATGCTTGACTCGATTATCTCTATCTTCAATCTCTCTATCTATCAATTATTTGCCGGGCTTATATACTAAAATAGAGGGC